CCCAGTCTTTCCCCACCAGCCTCAGGGCTGAATCTGCCAAAACAGGGAAGAGACAAAACAGTTACCAATAAAATTGTGAAGTTTTCCAAAACACTATTCATCATATATTTCTCTGGTAAGTGTTTGAGCTTGTGGATGAAGTTGATCATATATTCACACATCGGGGAGCGGTTTATTCGGTATACAAATCGGCCATTCTCAAACCTTGCATACTCCGTCTGTGAGGGAAAAAGGATTTGAGCATTTCCACACTTTTGACCTCAAAATACATGAAAAAGAAAATACTGTTTGTAAAAGCATTGTATTTTTTCAACATGAAATGTCTGCTACACACAGTACTATTTATGCCATTTACTTAATTTTTAAAAATCTAGTATCTGAACTTAATGCTGGACTCAGGATTCATTATTTTTCTGGAAATAAAAAATTGGAAGGTGCTTTGTTAGCGCAGTTGGTAACGATGTCAGTTTCATTAAAAAAAAAGGAGAAATGATAGCTGTAAGGAAGAGTTGTGTAAGTCCGTCTGAGCAATGGTCAGAAGGCAATACATCCACCTACTTTGTGATTCTCTACCCAGAGATCTGTAAGAGCAGCACCAGCCTTTCCCAAGTCTTCGAAGAGCCCAAAGATAGTCCTTCTTTACTGTGAGGAGGCCTCACAGGCCAACAGCCAGTTCAGCTAATTTCTCTACTTGAGGAAAAACTGCTTCACACTCACCATGAGCCCCTGACTGTTAGTTATTTATGCCTTTAATTTAAAAGAAAAGAAAAGAAATAATTGTGTGTATGCAGTTGAAAGATCCCACTGAAGCACTCAGAAATAAGAAACACACTCCTGGATAACCTTGGATCAAAAAGGAATTAAAAATAAAATTACAAACTATCCAAAGAGTAATGAAAAGGAAAATACATCAAAACTACGGGATGCAATGAAGCTCCTAGTGGAGGAAACCTAATGAAGCAGCTTCACGTCTTCATCATGAAAGATGAACAAGTTCAGAACTAAATGCACATCTTTAAAAAATTACAACCTCACACAGCAAACCAAAACCACAGGAAAAGCAAAAGAAACCAGGAATAGGAAATTAATAAAGATAAAAGTGCAAATCAATATAATCAAAATGAAAAATGCAGACAGAATAAATATAAAAACTGGTTCTTTAATAAAAAGACTAAATAAAATAAACTCTTCACAAGCTTAAGGAGAAAAAAGAAAAGAGACAAAACCACAATTACAGTGAGATTAGGAGATTTGTAAGGTTACTTCACATAACTCTAAGAGCAAAAATAGCAGAGAAAACCTAGAGGGTAGGGTGCCTTCCTAGCAAAATACAAATTGCTAATACCGATTCCTTTTAAGTAGAAAACTTCAACTGGTCGGTGACTGTGGAAAGGAGTAGGAAGTTGTAGAGATATACCGCTGAAAAGGGTACAACGACCAGATGGTATCACAGCCACGTTCCATGTAATCTTTAAAGAATAGTCATTTTCAATGTTACTGAAAAAGGGAAGCGTACCACTTATTTTATGAAACTAATATACATTCAATGCTGAAATTTGATAAAGAGATAAAAAAAAGAAAGCACAGGCTAAGATGCAAAAATGCTATTTAAACAGCAAACAGTGAATCACTGTAACCAAAGTAGGGCTTTCTTCAGGAATGCTGTGGCGGTGCACACACAGGATGCGTGTTAACTGGTGATGTCAACAAATGGGAGAAAAATCATATAGTTAGAGTTGCTGAAAAGGCATTTGATAAAATATTTCAGCTACTACTAATAAAAAAACACCTAAGTAAAATAATTATAGAAAGAAAGCACTTAAATGTAAAATAAAGACCATTTATAAAAACCAAGAATAAATATCCTACATGGAAAAACACCCAAAACATGTCTACTAACCTCAGGAACTATACAAGGACACTATTACTTATAGATCACTATTTCTTTTTACAACTGTGTAGTAGGTTTTAGCAAACTAAAAGGTGAGAAAATAATTTAAAAAACTGGCATAAAAATTGAAAAGAAGCAATAAAATAAAACTGCCAATAAGATTCTATACAGAGAAAACCCATGAATCTAGGGGGAAATGACCAGAGATAAACGAGGGGCAAAATGTTTTGAAAGAAAATAGATATATAAAAACCAAGAACTTTTCTCTCTTCTAGTAATCAAAATCTAGAAATGGAAAATTGTATTCTACCAATTTTGTAATACTTCGGGATATATACTATCCATAAAGGAATAAATCTATACATATATATAAACTATAAACGCTTATTAAAATAGGTAAAATTAGATGGAAATACAAATAGGTTCTTGATTGGAAAGACTGAATATCAATTACATATCAATTTATCCCAAAATAATATAAAAATCAAATGCAATTACAATTAGATTGCTCAAATAGGATTTTGTTTCTCTTTACATTTTTAAAACAATCTCATTACTTGGAAGAATGAATGCTTGTTACTAACCTAGAAAATATATAGAAAGAAGATGGGTGAAACCGACTTCCTCAGCAGATATCAGAACCTACCACAAGGCCATTGTAATGAAGTAAGCGTGGCATTGGGACATGTGGAGATACAGGGTGGAGAGAATAGAGAGATGCCAGAGACAGCGCCCAGTTTATGTGGTAACATCAAAGGCACAGATCCATTCAGTTGGAAAAGGATGAATCATTTAATAAGTGGTTTTCAACAGATACCTATCTATTCGGGAGAAAATATAAGCAGACTCCCCTTACACACATAATACAGAAATACATTCTAAATGGGTTAAAGGTTTAATTATAAAACTCCACCTGCCGCACTCAGACTACCTTCTCCATGGAAATTCCTGAGACTTCATCAGTCAAAAGCACCTTTCCCTGGCCCCTGAACTAAGTAATAAGAGCTTTGGGTATGATATCTGAGGACGCATGAAGAATAATTTGAAATCTGGGAAACTAACTTGTCTGGTTCACCTTTTCTCACATGCACCTGTCGAGGCAAGATGTCCATTTACAGATAAGCCCTGACACCTGGCTATTGGGTAGCAGTGCCCAGCACTGACCTTCCAGGTTCCCAACCACCGCAGGTAACGTTGCTTCCTCCTTCTCAGAGGAGATGGAGGTGAGCAGGTTCTAGGCCGTCCGGATTTGGCTCATTACAGAGCCACCTTCCCACCCACCCTTCCCCAAGCTTCCCAGACACTGCCCTGACTCGGCTCCCTCCTTCCTCCTCTATTTTTGCCCTCTGCTCCTTTGTTTGTGCCTCCCTTCCAGGCCTGCAGGGCTGGCTGCTGATCCCAAACTGACTCCTTATTTCTATGCTCTGGCTATTCTCTCTCCGCAGCTCAGTCCCCATTCCCATCTTCATCCTTCACGCTTAGGCTTCCCAATTAACAGTCTCAGTTACCTGCCCACCCCCAAATTTCAGCCTTGCATCGGTCGGTAATCGTGCCCTATTTCCTCTCGAAAACGCAGTCCTTCCGAGGATAAAGTGTCTGACCTTTGACTTTTCCTCCTCTTTAATCTTAAATATGCAGTCAGTTTCTAAGTTCCACTCAAAATATCTTACTGGTGTCCCACTACCACCATTTTAGTAAAGCTCATGACGCCTAAGCTTAAATGAACCACCCTTTCTCCTTCTCACTCCCCAATCTCTCTCTCTCCCCTCCCCCACCCCCCTCCCTCCTTCCCTCTTTTTCTCGTCTCAGCACAAAGTCTCCATCACAGTCAGGTGGGCTCCTGGACCTTCGAGGTCCAGGGCTGCTGTAAACAAAAGCTTCTCACTGAACATGGACCTATTGGGCGATGAGCAGAAACACTGAAAAAAACCTTAATTGGAATGTTAACTACAAATATCATTCATACTAAGCAACCAAACATATATTTTTTTTCAAAGAAATGGAAGCTTAAAATTACAAAGCCAAAAATAGGTATTTAGTCCCAGTTTGTAATAGAATAGACTTAACCAGTTAACTGCCACACGTCCAAAACAGAAACCATCCCCACACACCACAGTATTTTCAATTTAATTTAAAAAATCAATTTGAAATGATTATTATAAAAATAAATATCTTATAATTTGGGTGTTCTTGAATATTTTCAGCCAAAAATTCTCACGAAAAATGATTGTAAAGCTGCCACTTAGGGAAAACATTTCTTTTTTATGGGCATGCATAGCACGTGGGGAAGGTCCACCCCTTGTATCTACAGACGTGTATGGCACACAATGGGTTAAAACAAATATAATGAAAGGGGTAGAAATGGCAAAAGCAACACCACCGAACGGAAGGTATCGGGGTTTAGAAGGCCAGTGTCCATCAGTCGCATACCACTGTGGCTCTTCTCCCAGTGCCCGGGAGTGCCCTTGGACATAGGGTGGGTGGGGAGGCTTCGTCTGATGGGTGGCCGCTTCCACACCAGGCCACTCCCAATGAGGCCTCCTGCAGGACTGAACACTGCTGGCTGGGAAGGCAGGGCCAACTTCAACAGTCAAGAGGGCTGGCGTGGGACTTCCTCCTGGCCTTCTTTCAGTTGCTTTCAAACCATTTTGCCTTTTTAGAAGTAATGGGGGTGGGGGGTGGGTCAGAAGGAAGAGACACCAAAAAAAAAAGGTAAAACTCTACCCCAGAAAGATTTAAAGGACAGCAACAGTCTGGCCCTGAAAGAAGGTTCCAGGATACAGAGGCCAACTTACCTCTACTTTTTCTACTACTTGCTTCCCAAAGGAGCAAACTTTGGTGGAACAGGTGACTGTCATGTTTTCAGAACTCTCATACTGACTGGTTACACAGTAAAAAGCCCCGGCATCATCTTGAATATTGCAGTTTAAATCGGCCTGTTGGAAGGAAATGGAGGTGAGGGTTATGCTCTCATCACAGGAGTCATGGCAACCAGCCATAGCGGTCAGGGTCCGACCTCCTGAGTGGAGGCGTGGAGGTGATGCTCATCTGGAAACGAGTGCGCTGGCCCATTGGTCACTCCGTGGAAGACAGTACTAATTTGGGCGGTCTTCCCTGGAAATGACAAGCTACATGAATCTATTTTGCTTTACTTTCTGGCATTCTGTATCAAAGTAATGCTGTATCCTTGTAAGAGAAGATCCATGAGGTCTTTACAAATGTACAGTTGACCCTTGAACAACATGGGAATTAGAGGCTCTGCCTCCTGCACAGTTGAAAATCCGCATACAACTTTTGACTCCCCCCAAACTTTACTAATACCTACTATTGACCAAAAGCCTTACTGACAACATAAATGATTGATTAACATATACTTTGTATATTTATTATATACTGTATTCTTACAATAAAGTTAGAGAAAAAATAAAGAATCATAAGGAAGAGAAAATACAACATTTGTTGAAACAAATCCGTGTATAAGTGGACCCATGCAGTTCAAACCCATGTTGCTCCAGGGTCAAGCGTATATGAACTGAATTCAGATTCACTCATCTTTAGAGATATTTAAAAGAACAGGAGAGTTGACAGCTGACTGGCCATTTGCTACATATTTAAAAACAGGTCCTAGGCGGTTTGGCTCAATGGCTAGAGCATTGGCCTGCGAACTGAAGGGTCCCGGGTTCGATTCTGGTCAAGGGCACATGACTGGGTTGCAGGCTCAATCCCCAGTGTGGGGCGTGCAAGAGGCAGCCAATCGATGATTCTCTCTCATCACTGATGTTTCTATCTCTCTCTCCTTCTCCATTCCTCTCTGAAATAAATATATATATATATTTAAAAACAAACAAAACAGAAACTTTACTATAAACTAAGCATCTAGAGGGAAATTGGTTGCCATTAAACCCTCACTTACAAAGATGCGATTATTTAACATAAGCCTCCATACATTTAACACATTTTTTTGAGTACCTACTATGTAAGGCTCATGCTAGACACTATATAGGACTGACTACAACCTTATGTGGGAGATACATACATGAAATAGTTACAATTTAGAAAGAAAATCAGTATCATGTCAAAAGTGCGAGTTTAGAAATACCACTGGACCCAGCTTGTGGAGGGCTAAATAAAGGGTGTGGGTTTTACCCTGCAGGAAATGGGGACTTCTTGAAAGTTTTGGCACAAGGAAACGACGTGATCAGAACCGTACTTCAGGATGAGGCTGGGAGGCTCGCATCTAGATGTATGGATGGTGCTGATACATGGTCCTTTCTCTTGAATATCTCCTGACCCCCTACTGCTCATCAGGTAGGGGATGTGAAGCGGGGGTCAAAGAGTGAGCACAGCTGCCCTAACCGGTTTGGTTCAGTGGATAGAGCATTGATCCGCATACTGAAGGGCCCCAGGTTTGCTTCCGCACTGCGGCTGTAGGCTCTATCCCTCGCTCTGGTTGGGGCTCGTGTGGGAGGCAGACAACTGACGTGTCTCTCTCGCATGGATGTTTCTCTCTCTTTGTCTCTCCCCCTCCCTTTCACTCTCTCTAAAAATCAATGGACAAATATCCTTGGATGAGGATTAACAGCAACAAAACAACAGCTGAGCCAACTCCTGTTCAGTTGGGAGGACATCACAACGGAGATAAGCACTCTTGAGAGAGGCACAGAGGGTCAGGAGAACAAACAACAGTGCAGCGGGGCCCTCGGAGTCAGGGCGGCTCGGAGGATGATGCAGCTCAGACCCAAAGGAAGAACTGCAGGCTGAGGCAGGCAGAGCATGCAGTGAGAGAGAGGCCATGTTCCAAGGGCACGTGGCCGGAAACAAGGACTGAAAAAAGGCTAGAACAGACAGCAAGGGAGAAAGGGTGGCAGAAGAGGCTGGGGAGGTGGGAAGGTTTGGGTCTTATCCTAACCAGAGGGATGTGGGAGTTGTAAGCACATGGGAGGGAGACAGGGATGGGGTATAATCAGACCTGCATCCTCTAAAGTCAGCCCTGATCACAGCCTGGAGAAGGTGCGGGGGCGGGGAGGGGGGAGAGGGAGGTGAGTGTGAATGGAGAGGTCTGTCAGGAGGCCTTAAGCAGTCGAATGAGAGAGGAGAGCTGGACGACTGTGGTGACTGGTGAGGCACAGACAATGAGACCTGACATACAGATGAGACGATACATGTTTTGAGAGGTTTGGCACATTGTGACTGGCTAGTTTCAATATCTCGACAGGCACTCACTAACCACCATGAAGACCTGAGTTGATCTCTCCATATCTTATCTAATAAAGAGGGGATATGTAGATTGACCATCACACCATAATGGTCAAGATGGATGCGTCCATATTGGAGGCAGGGATTCCGTAACACAAGATGGCTGCGCCCACAGTGGAGGCCGAGTTCCCATAACGAGCCTTAATGAGCAATCAGCAGGGACCTGAGGCTGCGCCCCGCACCCGGCGGGGCTTGATGGGGGTGGGGCCGGCCGGGTCTGGGTCTAGCCCAATGCGGGTAGGGCCAGCCAGGTCTGGGTCTCATGCAATTTTGAGGTGCACGTAGGTGGGTGGGTTCTTGACTCTGGTTCCCATGGCACGCCCCAGACTCTCACAGGAGGAAGATTTTCATATACATTTAACTAATTTTCTTTCATCTCTGATACTTCTATTATAGAGAAAGGGCAAATAGCAATATTAAAATATTTCCTCTAATTAATTCCCTTTTAATGTGCACAAATTTTGTGCACCAGGTCACTAGTTTTTAACAAGGATCTGTATTTGAATTTCCTTCTTGAGTTGAGTATCAGGAAATGTCCTTTCCCACAGGCAAAACTTCCTATTTTCTGGCTTCATATTAAAAGAACCATATACTTTATATTCCCCTTTTTACCTCATGTGCCAAGAAATGCAAAGCTAAAATCAGTGCTCAACTGCAGTCATTAACTTACCCAGAAACTAGGAATCGCTAACAACCAGTGTATTGCCGCTTTACTGGATCCCAATCTGCTTTTACGGTACTTTTCAGGTTTTATATTATCCATAAATTTAGCAACACTCCCTCACAGTTAGTTTTTTTCGAATTATATGGGGCCTAAATGATAAATAAGTAAAAAATAGCCATGTGCATTTTTTTCACATTCTAAGGCTTGCCATTTGGCTCCCTGAAAGAGCTGCTTAGCGGAGGGAAAAACAGAATTCGTTCCCTAACTGAAGACTGCACCTGAGCTACCCAGGCATCTCCCTGGGCTCCAGCCTCCAGAGGAGAAAGGTGCTGACGATCTGAGGCACCCTGGAGCCCTGACACTGGAATCGCCACCCGGCTTTCCATAGCCCCTGAGAGTGGGCCTTTGAGACCTGCCGCTGCCTTGTTCTGCCTCCAGCGGAGAACATGTGGCTCTTGAGAGGCAGCTCAGGTGTTTCATGGTGTCAGGATTACCAGGGATCTTCTGCGTGGGGTTTATGATCTTAACTGCAGTTGGCCCTCCCTATCTGTGGTTTCTGCATTTGCTGATTCAACCAAGTGTGGATTGAACATATTCGAAAAAACATGTTCTGCTGTTGCAGACGTGTACTACACAGGCCCACGGAACATGAACAGACTTTTCTTGTCATTATTCCCTCAACAATACAGCCTAATGACTATTTACATAGCACTTTCATGGTATTAGGTATTTTAAGTAATCTAGAGATGCTTTAAGGTATGTGGGAGGATGTGTGTAGGTTCTATGCAAACACTCCACCATTTTATATAAGGGACTTGAGCTCTTGTGGGGTTTGGTATTGGTGGAGGTTCCTGGAACCAATCCCCCACCAATACCGAGGGAAGGCTGTATTATGATGGAGATTGTGTCAACAAGTTTTGGCATTTTAAAATGTAAAAACATTTGTGCCAAAACGGTAGCTCTCTTCTAAACCTTGTTTAAAAAAAAATACATCTGTACCTACACCTTAGAACTCATGCAGTACTGACACAGAACATCAGTATTAAAAAGAGCAGCCATTAAAAAAATGAGCAGCCACACTTTTAATGGCTTTATACTATTCCATTGCCCAGATGTTCCATGCGTTACTAACTGTGCTACTGATGAATATTTAGGATGCTTCTGGACAACGGTGCAATGATGAGTTTATGCGAAGCAGAAAAGGTGCGTCAGAAATTATTGTTACTTTCCTTCTGTGGGAACCCTGTCTAGAGAGCGCCGGATGTTCAAGGCCAATCTGAGCGTGGGAATCCTATCAGAGTGTTCAAGGCGAATCTGCTATATGCAGGTGCAAAAGCAAGGACACAGCTATCTTACTCTACTATGCAGGCCTGCCCTTCTATAACCCCAAGGATTGGTGTCGCTATTTGGAAAGAAACCTCTTTTCTCTAAGTTACTGTAAAGATGTGTTACTGACCAGCCATCGCGTGGCTTGGGTATGGCTCCTGCGTTTACTACTGTGTTTGCAATGGCTGCTATGTTAGCAGCGGCTACTGTGTGAGGCTCCTTTGAAGAAAGGCTTTGTCTGATGGCTACTTAGTAGCAATGGCTACTTAGACGATAATAAAGTCTCTCTTACAGGCCTATGAGCCTAGACTTCTCACATCTTCTCCATCCACTACCCAGCATCCATAAAGGTCTAGTCCTGGCAGGGGAACTGAGGCCCCACAGTTGGCACAGTTGAGCAGAATCAAGGAGTAAGTACTCCCACAATTGGCGCTGTGAGCAGGATCAAGGAAGAACTTATTCCAACAATTGGCGCAGCGAGCGAGCTGGGTCCAGGAGAGTGCGGAGGATTCAGGAGTAAGGACTCCAACACCCTCCTTTCAACATTAAAAAGT